TTTGGTACTAGTAGGTAACTTGACCTGGTATATGTGATGCTGTAACCTCTGTTACCGGTATTCTGTACATTTCCATGAGAACAAGCCATAAAGGACAATTTTTAGTTCAAAAAGGGTTAATCATAATGAGTTTGGCCTACAGCTTTGTCTTTATTTTAAATCAATGCATTTATGGAATATTACATAACCATCTCAGTTCGCAGTAACTTTGTGGCTTTCCATTGTATATTCAATCTGTCTATGTTCTACATCAATATTATTAGGTTGAAAAATCATTAAAAATGAAGTAACTTCATTAAATTTTTAATAATGAAAATGTTTGACCATGGAATGGCAAGGACCTTGAGTACTGGATTATGACAATATCACAATATTCATCCCTACAGTAATACTTTGTTACTTTGATAATTTGAATGTTTCACCATGTAGATTTTTTCTTCGCATCAAGGACAATCATATAATTTTCATGTCAGAAATGGCTTTTAAAAAAGGTTGTGGATCATGATGAAGAGGATACCAGGGAAAACAGTTTGGTCACAAATGCATTTGAATTACTATCCCATTGCTATACAGAATGAAACAACAGACAATGTTACAAGTGCTCTCCTCAACAGGAAAATGTACCGTGTTCTCTGCCAAAAATACTTAAGTACAAAAAGATATTAGTCACAACCTTAAACTAGACATTAGTATGTGAAATGTGAACTCTTTCAATAAAACAAATGACAATGAATAGAAGGGAGGGCCAGTTTTGATTATTAAATCATGTGCTTGCAACTAAAAATTCAGAGGATCACAGAGATGCCCAATCCCAACATTTATCATTATCATTTTAAGGGGTCTGCATATTTGAGAGGTTGCGCTTAGTACTAAATTCCAGAAGGCAGCGGCCACGATTTATTCTTTACTCGTGAAGACTGGATGCTTAACACATCAACGTACTTCGACTTCAAATTATGCAAATGGCAGGGCACAAAATTCTGCAAAGCAAAGCCCTAGGATTACGCTTCATTCGTGCAGGTTCAACGCTTAACCCAAAATGCACAAATAGTATTAAAATCAGAATGACCTGACTTCGCATGATGCAAAGTTAAGACGAGACTGTGTGCTTTACGCATTGCAGCATGTAGACCCCATTTTGAAAGAGTTAAAAAAAAACCAATTCACGGTCAAGGTCCGATGTTCTCTTGTCTTGTAGATGGGTGACTGGTCCCTCAGGAACACACACAGGCAAATCCTCCTGGAAAACAGCAGGAACACAGATCCTCCAGGAATATTGGACAGGAACACAGACAGGTCCCGCAGCACACACAGGAACATGGTCAGGTACGGCTTCCCATAACCTAGGATGTAAAAGAAATACACAGTCAGAAAAATCTCATGCCAAACTTACATTCATGAAGCATACACCAACAATATTCACATAAAATATGGATGTCATCATAATATTCACAACATTTGTTCAATTTCAAAAACCAGGTGCTTTGGTTGGGGTAAGAACATGTAGAAAGAAGATCATAGAACACAGCAAACAGTGAACATAGAATATCATGACCACACAACAATCGCATGAAAATAACATCTCACACAATATATAACACAAGGTATCGCAATTTTCATTTAAAACCTGCTTTGGTTGCGGGAAGAGAACATGGAACTTTGTTAGTGAGGCAAAAGATGAGCACAGCAAACAGTGAACAAAGAATATCATGACCATCTGCCCAAACAATTGCATGAAAATACATCTCACACAAGATATACATCAAAACAATGACAAGATAATATGAATCTAATGTTGACATTCATTAAATTACTAGCTCAGCTGAGGCACAAAAACATTATTGCCAATGTGCCAAAAAACAGTTACTCAAGCAACTGGATATGATTTTGAAAACGTCAGACGTTTCTGCTAGTATCCACTAGCTTTCGTCAGTGACTGAGAGACCAGAGGGGAAAGCAGGTTTATATACACAACCTGTTGATTGATATGCAAATAAAGTGAAGACAAATTTTTGGAAGTCGAAACAGGAACAAAAGTCAGACAAGTCAAGACAAGATGATGCAAATTAGTCTGAAAGCTCCTGTATTACAGGACAGGAGCTTAAGTGTTGTCTGTCCTCGGGGCTGGGAGTGCCAAATCCCAAGTGCCGGAAAGATCGACCCGTAGCCCCCCTTCCCTGTTGAGGGTGGGGTTGTACATTCTTTCATATATTGCCTCTTTAACACCCCGTTCCCACCAGCGTGTTTCGCGGTCTAATACATCCGTGGACTCGAGTTTGAAAGAGTGACCCTGGTTGTGTTATTGCCAATGACTAGAGAAATGCATTTTAAATATCAGTTCATGAAAAAACCCCACACTGTATCATGTTAAAGAAAAGTCATTACAAAACTAGCTATGGAACATCACACTATTGTACATGTTATTATACTTATAATAGACAACAAACTACTTTTGGTAGTAATGCTGCATCTGAAACAGGGATGACATAACAATATATTTGTACCAGGTTCCACCTCAAACAGTAAAAAATATGACACATGGAACCGCATTTCAAACATTCAATGAGTTCAACAAATAGTTAAAAATAAATGTCAAGTTTTAAACACAGCTTATATATATCAATTGTTCTGTTAAAGGAAACCTTGAAATACCACAGTGACTATACCACAACTTTGTACACTAGCGCTTAACTCTATTTTGTGTAAAACTGTAACGTTACACATTAAGTTTGTGCCCCCCTCCCATTCGGTGATAATGGGAATTCACAAACTTAATGTGTCAGTGAAAACGATCATTCTTCCAAATTATGAAAAATTCTGTCACTTCATCAATGGTCATCAATGTTACCTTCACCAAGCGCGGCTATATTTTGTCCCTGCAGTCAGCTACTGGCATACCAATATTTACATCAAACACGCGAGAAGTTCGCCGAACAAAAAACGGGACTAAATGCTGTTGTTGAAATCAACACAACAACACGTGACATCCACGCGAACGGTCTAAAAGCGCCCCCTAGCAATTGATATACGGAATGCACCCCACAGAACTTGGCATTGATGCTGGTTCACTAAACTACGGTTGAAATACACGACGAGTCGACGACCGTAGCATTGTTCTTGATATAACGTCCGTTTCCGTGATTTGTATGAAAAGGTTCCTAGTGAGCTCGACTGACTTTCTCCAGCGTTTTCTCGGATTTTAATTTATGCGCTATACCGTTTTTCTTAATTTGAACTTGTGAGGTGGCAAAGAAGTAGTGATATGGTATATCTAGTTGTGCCATGATTTTCTACCAGCGAGTGTAAGGAATCATTGTAAAATCAGTTGACAAATTAATAAATTAATCGCACATCTCGGGGCAAGCAAAGGGGCGCCATCCAGCGGCCGTTTTACTAAGTGTAGAATTAAACCAAGGGAAACGTCGCCACAAATAGTTCACACTGTTCCGTGCCTTTGCTTCAATTCCTTGCAATACGTTCACTCAAAATGATTACGAGAATATAGAGGGCAATGTTCAGTGGTACTCACCTCCTAAAACGGACGCAGCGCGTCTTCCAAGGCGAATTTTACCCACCGAATTTTGCCCCTCCCAAACTCACTCGCCATATTGAAACGGCGTGGTCCTACCACCTGATGATAAATCATCAGGATTTGCATATTTCTTAATTATCAGTTACGTAAGCAAATTAGATTAATCGAGATTAATCGCAACGTATGAGACAATCACCATACATTCGAACAATGTTCAGTTCGTTTTGGAGAAAACAACGTCGCGACTGCATGACTACAGAAATGCCGTGCAGAATGTGCCATGATATCGATCTAAGACTAAGGGCATAAGAAGAGTTTGCTTAAAGTCTGTCAGATAAAGTTCATATATATTCACAGTGATTGAATCGCCTACAAACGTCACGAAGTCTGTACCAGTGCAGTCGCGAGTTTCCCTCTGGTGACGTTGTTTACTCCAAAACGAACTTCTGTTCGAATTTTCTTTCGATCTCCAAGACGTCACAAATGGGACGCGGCACCTGCGTGTTGTCAAATTCGAACGCCACCTTGTGTAGCGCAGTCAACTTGACACTTTTCACCAACTTTCCTCCAAATCTCCCGGAGATATGGAGACGAAGACGCGAGGTCTAGGCCAGGGTGATGGCGGGAAGGAGAGATCGTCTGTCCGTCAGGTGCGTCCTGGCATCTGGAGCGTCCTGGCGTCCTGGTTGGCTGACCAGTCGGTGTGGAAGTGGATCACACCGAGAGTCATGGTTAGTCCCGCGTGACGTTCACAGTCACTAACATTCGGACACTGAGGTAATTTCAATATATCATCTCCCACGTTCAATCATC